CTGTCAGCCGGGGGCGCACTCAGGGTCGAAGTTCCACCCACGTTCTTTGCCATGTGGCAAGGATTTGCTGCTGCAGTCAGAAGCCCGCCTTCCAAGGCACCTTTTGAAAAATGGCCAACGCTTTTCACTTAGTGGTTGAGCACTTAACCATGTGCATCAAGACCCCTCGTTAGGTGACTGTTGTTGTTGTTAGCTGCCATCAAGTCCGTTCTAACCCACAGCGACCGTATGCACAACAGAACGAAACACTGCCCGGTCCTCACGATCGCTCCTATGACTGAACCCGTTGTTAGAGCTACCGTGTCAAGGCATCTCCTGAAGGGTCTTCCCCTTTTGGGACGACTCTCCGTTTTACCAAACATGATGTCCTTCTCCAGCATCTGGTCTCTCTTGACATGTCCAAACTTTTTAAGGCGAAGTCTTGCCATCCTTGCCTCCCAGGAGGCCTTAATTCTTCTAACATAGACCAGGTTGTTCTGCTAGAAGCCTGTGGTATTTTTGATATTCTTCTCCAGCACCACAATTCAAACAAATCGATTCTTCTTTGGTCTTTCTTACTCAGTGTTCAAGTGGATTAGGGATCTTCATTATGTCTGCCAATCCTTCCACTTCTGTCATCTGCTGTGTCCTTAGCACCCATAGGCAGGGCTTTATAAGGCGTGGGCCATTGGGGGTCACCTTAGAATCCTGCCTAATATGGTGTCTTTTTAAAAAAAGTGATTTTGTTGTTTTTTGTGTTTGAAAAGGATTTTAATAAAAGGGATTTCTTAAAAATTAGAGCCCGTGTGTCAGGCTAAGCAAAATAACATCTCCGATATAGAGCATTTACTGAGGGGCCAGCTGTACATAGGAAGTGAGAGAAAAGAAGCCAAGAGGAAATTATAATTAGAGACACCCCCCCCCCCCCCACTGGCATATTGATTCACTGCAAGAACTTCCTAACTGCTCTCTTGGCTGTTGGCCTTGACTCTCCCATCTGCTTCTCCCTATTCTCACCATGGAGATCCTTTCCAAATCCTCCCCCATCAGGCCACTATCCTGCTTAAAATACTTGTGCTGACTCTGCGGCAGAGTCCAAGCTCTTGAGCACCCTAGGCGAGAACTGCCATGCCATCCAACCTCACGTCCCAACATATGCTTCGCGGG